CGCACCTAAAAGCCAAATATAAAGGCAGTTCCATTAACAGTTGCCTCCATGTTCTTTTCTTTAAGCAGAGCATCTCTCAAGGAAACGCTCTTCAAAAGTGGAAAGAGCCCATTCTACAATGATGAATGCCGACATGGATGGTATAAGTTCTTAATGTTCTTGTTATTCTTTCTACTTAATATAATTTCCAACTGTTTGCAGAGGTTGCACTAAAACTCTCATGATTTATTGCAGCTGTTGAGGCTGAGAATCAGGTGGAATTAGAAGAAAAAACACGGCTTATTAATCAAGTTTTGGAACTGCAGCACACACTTGAAGGTTAGCAGCTTGACACATCAGATTTTTTACAAGCACACAGTAATAAGCAAAAGAAGAGAACCTCACTGCTCTGCCCTATCTTAGGGACAGTGTCCAGAAGTATGTCACTTAAAGCAGTTGAAGGTACATAGGCAAGGTCTTGGAACTAGGTTTTTTCCTTCCTCTTTATGCAGGATTGTGTTTGCTCGACTCTCATAATACACATCGAGCAGGAGGGGTGATACAGTTAATTTGTTGCTTATGAGCTGAGGCACATCTTTGAGTCTGTTTCCAAGTAGTTGAGTTTGCAGTAGCTTAATTCAAAAATTCAAGAAAATAATAAAGTTACAGACTAGGAGTATGTTTAAGAAGTTTATCCAAATACTTTACTACAAAATAATACAGGAAAAATGGGCTTTTGATAAAACTTCAGTAGCAGAATGTTAGTATATTACTATGTTAACATAATACCTTATGGTAACGTTTCCTGCATTAAAGGTGTGATGTCTGATATAGGCCCGTAGAACATATTAATTATTGCATGCAATAGTGTCTAATACTTCTCTTATAATATCACCTTCGCAGATCTCTCAGCACGAGTAGATGCTGTTAAGGAAGAAAACTTGAAACTGAAATCAGAAAACCAAGTTCTTGGACAGTATATAGAAAATCTGATGTCAGCGTCTAGTGTTTTCCAAACAACTGACACAAAAAGCAAAAGGAAGTAAGGGCTGACTCACAGATGATGCTGTTGTATTGCTGCTGTCTTTTTTTGTTTTAACTGGCATAGGCTACATGAGCTAAAATACCTTAGTTTGTGGCTTACTGGATACTTAAAGATTATAAACTTTGGTGATAAACAGAATTAAGAGCATTATCATGGACAGGAGACATAAGTTTGTGTATTAAGATTAAGCAATGTGCAAATGTAGTGTAGATAATTACTAAATTTTGATATTTGTTTTAAAAATGAGCATATCTTGTTAAAAATTGGATTCAGTTTGTGAGGTTAAACAAAGGTCTGTTGGCACTCTTTGAGGTCTTAGGGTAGAGTTCTTGACTAGCAAAATAAGTTACAATATTGTGTTGAAGCCCTATTTGATAAAAATATTCAAAGTCTAATTGCATCACTTTTTTCACATGAAACATATTTAATTACTGTGTAGTACTGTTCATAGCTCTGCAAAGCAACTTAAAACCACCACCTATAAACCAGTTAAGCATTTCTGTGAAGTAACAACAGTATGACATTGTTTGTAGGGCTTGCATACAGAAAAACACTTAAGATTTTTTGGGAAGGGGGAGGATAAAGGGAAGAGCAACAGGGCAACTTAATCAGGGAAATACCAAACTGATGCAGTATCAGAGTGTTGTAATATGTACACTTGAAACCATTTTCACTTTCCCATTTCTTCGAAGAAGAGTCAGGCACCGCATCGTAACGTATGATCCTCCTGAGGTTTTTCAGTTGTGTGATGAAGAGTTTTGTAAAAACCTGAGCGGTAAACTTTTCAGAAACAGAAGGTCAGCAATGTTCCTCGTGCTCATTGTGAACAATCTGCAGTGAGGAACTGAGAAGTCTTCTTTCCTTCCCACCTTTTACTTTCCTCCTGAAGTGCCAAACTTTGCTTCAGGCCTCAGAGCAGATGTTTTGCTGCCCAACAGCCTGAGCTTGTGAAGTGTCTCTTGAGGCACTGCATAAAAACATGTAAGGCAGAAGGCTGCAGTGGAACGAAGGTGGCTTTTGCCTCTCAAAACCATGCTGCTCTGAGCAGTGCCTGGTGCCAAGGTGCTGGTTTTACTGGCTTGGCTGTTAGCAGGTTTTGTAAGGGAGCTTAGCCCAGATTATGGGTCTGAGCACTTCCCATAGAGGCAGCACATCCAGCATAATCAGTATTATGGAAGAGCAGAAGCTGAAATACAAACAACGATGTAAGTTTTATCAGTACTTTGTTGCATGTTTCATCTTGCCATACAGCAGCACTGCAGACTTATTTATGGATGTTAGCTAGAACTGAGTATCTCTTCAGTAATTAAGCCATTGTACTTGACCTTTTAAAAAAAACCACTAGTTCAAGGATCTCTTTCAACCTAGCTGTGAATGAATCAATGGAATAGTGGAATAAATCCCTCTCAAACCTCAAGTTTCTTGGCAGCTAAGCACTCCTGTGTCTCGAGTGAGTTGACGTTGTGAGGTTCCCTCCTCCAAAAGGTGAGGTTTCCCTTTTCTCCCCATTTAAAATGGCTCTACAGGGCTCAGTGGAGTGTCAGCAAAGACAAAAGACTGCCAAAAAAGCACTAATAGTTTGCTCTTGAGGGCTGTTTACAAGTCTGGGTCAAGAAACCAAATGATGAAAAATGTTTTACCCACCAAGACACAAATGGGTGATACTCTTTGTGTCATGGGGTTCTTGTAAACGTCTAAAATGATTTTTAATCTTCTATGGACTACTCTCTCACACTACTGGAACTCTAAATTAATGCTAGCAGGTAGAGTAGATCACATGGTTAGTACAGAGTTTGAGCATTAAACAAAGAAGTCACACCAAACACTTGACTTCTAAAGGTTGCATCGCATCACAGCCATTGTAGCTTTAAAGCCACGTCACTGCCCATCTCCATCTGCACTGTAGGAGCTCACCTGGTAACAGAGCATGCGCTTGTTAGACTTCAGCAACTTCCCAAGATAAAGTAACCTTAAAATCCCGGGTTTGTATTGTAGATTGGATAGTGATACTTTATCCATCAGTGTGTATATAGTAGTTTTTTCATCTCTATGCGATTTGACATCCCACTACTGTGGCCTTCATTTAACTTATGAGCATTTTAAAGATGTTGTATTTCTGACTTTACACTAAATAAAAACTTTTGATTTGTCTTGATTAGTTTGCTTTAACATTTGTAAACCCTAAAACTTCTCACAGCTATCTGTAGTCGAAAGGTGGAAAAGTAGTAGGGTTTGCCATCATCTTAATGGTTTCTACATAGCTGAACTGTGTGAAAGACTAGATGAAATCACCAAGTATTAAGATTAAACCTGCGTTAATGAATCTAGTTTCAGTAAGGTTTCAGTTTCTGACTTGCTGTTTTCAGCCATGAATCTCACATTTCTGTATACTTTTTTGGCTAAAGAAAAAAGGATTGGTAGACTGCATCCAGTGTAGCCAAAAAGCTAAAACTTGCACCTCTCCATGTGGGAGGCCTTTAAGCCAAGTTAGAATACAGGAAGCGTTACCTTTTCCTACACAAGTTAGTGAGCTCTACATTAGACAGGAACCAGAATTATTACTTCATCATACCTTCATGACTGTGTATGCCAACTGAGGAGTAGCTTCAGCTGTAAGTAAATAAAAGGGCCTCAGTCCTACTTGGCCTTCCCTGCATATAGACAATGTTCAGTCTGGTTATCTGCCATCCTCAGTAAGATCTTTTATGAAGCTACAGCGTAGCAGGTGGGAGTGCAGGCTGTGGAGGTCTGACATTAATGGAGTTCCAAAGATGACTGATACTTTATATGGTAAGGCACCCTGGAATTGAAAATCATCACCTTGTTAATTAAAGCAAGATCAAGTATTTTTCCTGAAATACCTGTTCAGAAATAAATGGATGATGCACAGGAACTGTGGGTGAAATCTCAATGTTAAAAGTATCAATGGACGGGGAGGTTCCCCTTCTGCCTGCTTTTCTACATTTAGAGCCTCAAATCCCCAAAGCTCTGATATTTCTCCCCTAAGTAGCAGCATAAGACTAGATCCAAGTAAGCTGATGTGCAGAAGGATGTCTTCCATCTCCAGGTTCTAGGTGATCAAAGGAATTAAGTCAGTATTAATGTGAGAGAGGCCTTACAGAGTCAGTATTACTGCAAACAGCACCCTTGAGCCATGGGTATCCACTGAGCAGTGGGTAACCCTGTTACCCATAATAAATGGCTCCTTTTTTACTAAAGTGAGGTACAAGCAAAGACTTTATGGGAACCTTAAGTTCAAAACTCTAAGGGAGGACTAGCATCCCCTGTGGGGTGACCAATCCCTGGAGTAACTAAATCACAAAGAAACTACAGTAACTATATCATATCAAAGGAAAAAACCCTCCAAAACCCCAAAACCAAAAAACCAAACCCAACCCCAGAACCACACCCAAATGCTGTAACAATTCCAAAGGACTCTTATCAGGCTCAGACATCATCCATTCGGTAGGAGAGCTGAAATGCTCCCCGATAGCTCACAGTAGCTGTTACTAGCAGGTAACAACTGATAACAACTATCTATTGCTGTGGAGTAATCTGGAGTCTTCACTTCTTACCTTCTGCATGTAGACCCTAAATAAAGAGGTGGGAGCTTGCACTTACCGACACAAAAAGCCCCAAACCAAACAAAAATCCCTGAGGCCTTTCCATGTAGTTCACACTAAATAAGAGTCCAATCTAATTAACTTCTTAGCACTTCAGAACAAGCACTTGAGGACACTGCCTTCTTCTCATTAGGGTTAAGTAAGCATTCATTTCTTAGAGACTTCCATGGAAACTTCTGTGAAAATACTCCTTTTTTTATGTGAACTAAATTCTTGCCAGGCACAAGAAAATCGGTTAGAATTCTTATGAATTAATGTATTTCTGCTTCTTTACAATGTAATTGTAATTACAATGCTTTTGTTAGCACCTTATAGTCCACTACTTCTACAGGCAGCTGTCAAGCAGCAAGAGGTTTCTGGTGACTGAAATTTTATTGGTTTTTTTTAATATACAGCTGAACTTTAACAAAACAAAGTTTCTTTTACAATATGCAGTTTATTTCAACTACATTATGAGAATGCCCAAGTTACTCACATCTTTAAAAAACTTAACCATCAAAAATTCTTACCTATATTAATAAATTTCATATTAAGGAAGAATTATTAAATATTTTTAGGTGGCAATATACACTTAGCAAATATTCTATAAACAGAGGTTATACCACTCTGGCTTGGAACATGAGAACTATAAAAGTTTGAAAAAATCATCTGTATATCACTTCTGCAGATCCGATATCTGCATTCAAAAGTAAAACAAGTCACATCAATTACCACTTGTTCTATGAGTATTCTATTTTAAAATATCTCTTAAAAATAAATTACTGTAACCAATGCCTAAAGTGAACAGGTGACCACCCATGTAACAAGATCAACTAAAATAAATAATTTACAATAAAAATTGTTGCTAGCACAAAATCATTATACAAAAACAATTATTGCATTTAGCTCTGCACAGAAAAAAATATCTTTTCTCATAGCAATGAGAACTGCTATAGATGCTACATCTACACTGTCATCCTCTTTTAGCTGAAAACTGTAAACAGCTAATTTTGTGCTAGAGCTGCAAAAGTATTATAATTTATTCATTTAAAAAAATATTTAGAGCAAGTTTATCTCCAACTAATACTAATTTTCTTAGAAACTTCAAATCTTAAGAATCTTCACCTAAAAATCAGTTGGCCAACTTGTAATTTCACTTTTATTTTCAGTTGGAAACACGTGCTAACTCCTCACAGATAGTATTTCTCCTTAAAAAAACAGGGAACCGAGGAAGTTCAGGATGGTTAAAGAGGTCAGAGGATTAAAGCAGGAGGTTAAGTAGCAGTGAGTTCCCCTTTTTCCTTTAAAGCTCAGGAACTTGCATGCTGTCAGGCCCACTGGAGTAGCACACCAGAAGCTACTGTTATCTAGACCTGCAAATACCAGCTGGAAATAACTCAGTCCTTTCGTACTCTTCTTTTGCGCACTGATCTCAGCGGATTATCTCCTGTACCCTCATCAGCTTCTTTCTTCTGAAAAAGAAAAATAAAATTCAGCACTAGAATTTTAAACTTATTTTAATTATTGAAGCTGGCATGCTACTTTATTACTCCACCTAAACCTCCCAGTCATGTTATCACTAAATGCAACACTGAAGTGGCAGGACATATTTTTCAACAATACCAACCTAATGAAAAAGTGGGTAGAAGACTTTTCCTTCCTATATTTAGAAGGAAGAGAATAGTACATCTAAACGGATGTCAGAAATTTGGGGTTGCCCATGTATTCACTGGTTTAAAAGTGGTGACTTTTAAATTAATTTAGCAACTTCCTCAAAGTGCATCTTATGCTAATTTTAATTTCCACTTCTGAAGCAGGAAGCATTTAAAACATTCTAACCGTCCCCTTTGGAGAGCTGCAAAGAAAGCAAGCTGTTCTTAGATGTGGTGTTCCCAGTTTAAAAGCAATAAGCTTACAGAGGAACGTAAAAAGGCTTTCCAGTGTGAACTCCATTCTCAGACAATGCATTGCTTCCTCACTTCCCTGCATCACCTAATGGCAAGCACCTCATTCAGCAGGAACAGCTCACAGAATGTGGCCCAACCTGAGTGAGGACATGGTGTACATGATGCCTCCCAACTAGGTCACCAGCTAACTCATGACAGAAGCAAGCTGTGGCCTCACTGTGCTACTGTGTAATGGCACAGACACATTCAGATCTTGTTGCTACTTTCAGAGTCCTGTGAATCCTAATAGGGTTCATCAGATACTGTATTCCTAGGTAAATGTACAAGGAAAAAAAAAACTTCCTACAGGAAGAAGAAGTACTGAGTAAGGGATAATTGATGAAAAATTTTAGTCCTGAAACAATGCAACCTCATGCAAGGTCCAGTTTCCTACAGGAGTTTTCCATGAAAAGGAGTTAACATTACATTACATAAAACAACTCCCCTAATCTGGGAAGGGACTCATTTAGGGAATGACAAGCACAACACGACCAATGGGTGGATCTAAGGCATTTCAGACACACCAGTTTCTAAATAAAGGATAATGAGTAGTTGACTGATGAGCAAGTAAAGCACAAACAAATTCCATTCTACAATGTTATTTTATGAAAAACATTTTGTGGATTATCTGGGTGACTAGATTAATCTGCACAAGAAAAATGACACTGCAGGTGCTGAATTGCAAAAGAGTGTGGTCATTTTGCTTTATTTTGGAATCCAAAAAAACCCAAAAGATAGCTGAAAGCTTAAGGTTTTTCTAGCTCTCATGAAAAGGCTATTCTGTTAGAAGCACATGTTCCAGCAATTAAGTAGCACAATAAAGACTGAGACCTAAATTTTCAAGACTAGCAATTCATTTAATAACCTGTTAAAAACTACACTCCTGTAAAAACATTTCATGTTTAGAGATCTGCATGATCACTTCTATACTATACTTGTATTCATACAGAGCATTTGAGGTGTCAAACTCAAATGAAAACACATTTCCACCTCAGGATTTGTTTTATGGCTCAAGAGAAGAAAAACACTTGTTGCAGGTAACTGGGCTTAGTTACAAGTATGATGTCAGATAACTTACCTCATTTTCTGAATCAGATTTATTTGACATACCACCTTCTTCTTGTCTTGCATCTGCAACTTCATTTTCTTCCTCATCTGCAACTTCATTTTCTTCTTCATCATCATCGATATCTTCACCACCTTCACCCTCGTCTTCTGCAGAAGAAGTTAATTTTACTTTGTAAGCAGAACTGTATTAAAAATGCACTATATCCAGACACACTAGTAAGGAAAAGAAGCCAATTTCAGTCTTAGAATGAACTGCTTGTTTAGAATAACCCATAAAAACATCTCTGTGTGACACAGTGAGTAGAATTCTCATGAATTAGTAGAAAGTGATAATTTTCAAATTTAATAATCAATTTTAACACCTCCACCTTCACCTCTTTTCACAATAGCCCCTACTCTCTTCAGACTTGTTACTGACTAAAAGGACTTGATTTACTTCACTTGAAATCCAAGTATTGTATTGGACGGTTTGGAGACCAGAGTCCAAAACAGGACAACTCAGGTATCCCAAATGTGACTGAATTCTGACTTAATTTGGAAAGTACAATATTGCAGTTATCAGTCATCCAGCAAGGGGGACACCTACATCTTAAGGCAACTCCTGTTTTCAGCAAGGAATTCTTCTGGCAATTCTTCTGTTTTGGTTGAGGGATAAGCAGCCCAGTACTTCCCCCCTTCTTATGTATTATTGCAATTCAGAAACTAGTCAGAAGAGGACTGTACTCCCCTTAGATCACTCAAGGTATGTCCAGCTTGCACTACTAGTGCACTAGTATCCTTTGAAATACTTTCTATCATGAGTAAACAAGAAATCTTACCTAAAATCTGATAGAAAGGATACACAATGGCATTCTACAACTTGACAGGCTGCCAATGAGTCAGCTACAGTAACGAAGCAGTGCTCAATTCTAGCCTTTTCAGGTCATGCCTACATCTCATAAGCACTACTTCAGTGTGGGGGGAAAAGAAAAAAAAAGAAAAAACCAAAAGAATACCCACCCACCCCAACCTCCCAATTCTTACTGCTGCATCTCAGTAAAAACTGAAGCAAAAGTATCCATATAAATTCAGGAGGTAGTCACATATAAGATGCAACTCTCCTGATTCTTGGTGATGAAAATCTAGAAATTCCAATTGAAATATTTGAGACTTCCGTAGAAGTACCAAAAAACTTCACTTGCAGTACAGCTATAAATACAACTTCCCTACCTGTTATGAACTAAGAAATCCATTTTCCCATCTGTCAATATACCTAGTACATGTCTACAATAATATCTCTCTACATTTGTTATGAAAAGGGGAAATATGACCAAAAAAATGCAGATCATGGTTTAAGAAAGATGTAGACAAAGATTTCTGTTCTAAAAATATGCTCTTAACAGAGGAGCTTGGCAGAAATTCACAAAGCCTTTGCTCATATTCTAATGAAGAGATTAGAAATGGTAAATGGCAAATCCAGCTCCTCCCCTAAGTACTAATTTCAGTGAAGGGGAAAAAACCCCAAAACAACAAAAAAACCTTCAGCCAGAACTGTAAAAGCCAGAACTAGACAACTATACTATGTAAAATTACTAATTTTAATTTAATCCAATAATAATTTAAACAGTATTTCATATAAATGAATGTATAACTTGACAAATAAGGTTCAGGCTGTGGTCCTGAAATTCCATTTTGTGGCAACATTCTTTTACTTCCTGGAATATTTTTCTAGAAGGCAAGGAATTCAAGGAGACAAAGCAGACAAGTAGACAAGTCAAGAACACACCATTCTTAGCAATGTCACAAAAATTAACAAACAGTAACAAAATAAAACAGTAAATCCCATGGACAATGCACTTCAAAAAGTAATCTGCCAGCAACTCATTCTCACTGGAGTCAAAGAAATCTCCAAGTGTTTCTGAACTTTGGTATTGTCCCACACTTTCCTTTTCTTTCTTTTTTTTTAATGGCCCCATGAAAAATGTAGATCTCAAGTCGCTCAGTATTCAACAGCTCAAACCCCATTACCTTCAACTCCAAAAAACAAAGGAGGAGATAATGACGACAAAGGAACTGTAAAAATTATAAGGAGCCAAAGTGACTAGTAGAAAATATTTATGACTACAGATACCACAGGGAGAAATCTTGGAGGAAACTCGCATCTGCACTGGATGAAAGCTGGAATCCACCAGCTTGAAGTTCTACCATCAACAAGGAAGCAGAGGGAAGAAACCAGATAGGAAAGATCATTTGCAAGTCCTGGCCCAAATTACTTCCCTTTCCCAGTACCTGAAAGACGAACCTCCCTTCCCATCTTCTTTGTATCCTTCAAAAATTTGCTTTTCATCTCCTTCATTTCTCTTCTCTCTGTAGCAAAAAGAATCAGGAAAAGGAGGCAGAAGACAAATTCTCTACTGCTTTCAGATAAGAAGAGGCAAAAGATGGAAAGATAGTGATAGAAAAAAAGAGAAGCTTTCAACCTGCAAATGTTAAAGGTGGCAGGAAGCTAAGGGAAGCTAAGCAATTCTTCTTAGAGAAAGAAACCGTGAAGTCATATGACAGCAAAGTGTAATCCTTCCCTCTGAAGCATAGAATTTACTTGAAAACCTTGGAATAGTCATACAAAAGCTAGCTAGGTTAGTTTTACTCTGTGTTCAGTTTAGTAACTAAAAGTAAAGGCCTAAAATAGAACCTGCCTTTGCAACACCAAGAACAGCTGTTCCAAGTAGAATTTTAAAAAGTTGTGGGAGCTAAACAGCATTCCTCTGCAATTGCCTGAACCTTATTTCTAACACTGAAACACACACTCTAACATGCTATTTATTAACTGATGTGTTGTAATTGATTAAATAAATTAAATTAACTGTCTTAAAGAAGAATATTGGACTTGAGGTATCTCAGCCTTGCAACAGCAGTGTATCAGGTACAAACCGCATCTATGATCTGCAACAAGATTGGGTAGAATAAAACAGAGTCTGTAACTCAGGAGCCACGACCACGTAGAGTAGAGCAAGATCAAAAGGAAAATGCAGGAAGATACAATGATTACATTACATACTAAAATTTATGCTAATGTAAAGAAGAGCATAACAAAATAACTAAATGCCTAAGTGAGGCTCTCAAATAGTGAGGCAGATAGTCAGGACTAATTTGGGGTGGCAAGCAGTGGGACAACAATTTACTTAATTCTGTCAGTACTGGCATGGGAATGGCTGATGCTAAGTGACCTTTTAAGTCATATAGACAGAAGCCATCAACACTCACAGAACTTGGTGTAAAGACACACAAACCCCACCAAGTTTCAGTCAGTAATACAAAGTGATGTCAGTACCAAGGAAAAAAAATGCCAGCCAAGAATGTCTGCTCGGTTTCTAATTATCCATGCCAGTCACTTGTCACTTGTTTGTTCTTATCAAGGAAGAATGAAGTAAGAGGTAGAACCTTTTAGAGTTCTGAAGGTAAAAATTTTCTCATGAAAGTCAAGATAACGCACTGTAAGTTAGGTGATTTGTTTTTTATTCATTGTATAAACTCAGGGAAATGCTAACAGCACATCAGAGCCATGGCTGAATAGTACCAGTAATCTTTGATACAGTAACACAAGATGATTTAGCCTTGGATGCCAAAGTACAGCTCAACCTACTGAATCATTGATTTCTCGCTTGGGCAGCAGGACAGACCTTTGCAATATGTTGCTAAAAAGCAACACAAAGGAAGCAGCAAATTTTAGTATTTCAAGTATTTTCAGGCTTTAACAAGAGCAACTAAAAATAGTGATCAACAGAAGAGTTGAAGGTACAACCCTCCCCCAGAGAAGTAAGCAGAAAGACTTATGTTAAAAGACATAAAGCTATTCCAGACACATTTTAAAGACAATGATGTAACTTTAACCACTTCAGGTACTTATATCTGAACCATTAAAATGTGTTCAATATATGAAATATTTAGAAGGAATAAAATATGCATCACTGTCTACAAAGATAAAAAAGACTGCTGGAAGCACATTCATTTCATGCAAGTGAAAAAATACTGAGTAGAGCCTTACTTTCTGCTTGTATTTATCAAAGAGTTATAAGCCATGGGATGCCACTCACTGGAGGTAACCAAAGAGGAAAAAAGACTCAGAGCAAGGCACATTTCGCATATGCTAAGATAACTGGCTGTAATTATTGGCAATGCAATCCATGAACTAGTTCTATTCATGTCTTTAACCAAACTGCAAGCTGACATGCTCATCTTACCATCCTCAGCCGTATCTTCATTTTCTTTTTCTTCATCTATTTCATCATCTTCGAACTCTTCTCTCTCTTGTTTTAATTCCCCTTTTCTATTTGGCTTAGATACATCAGTTTTTTTGAAGTCATATTCATCTGTTTTCTACAACAAATTAAAAATCTATTTACATTTCAACTCAAATTAAGAACTAAACACAACAGCCACTGTCAGCTGAGTAATACCAATGGCACATTAAAAGTGCACATTGTTGTACAGATGCTAAGAATTTTCAAATAAAGTATTAAGAATAAACTCAAATACAAATATAATAAATTTCTCTAACCTTTGCTGGCCAGCAGAACAATACACCTAGACCAACAGGGAGAGCTAAAGTCAAGATGTAAAGAACCCAGAGCCATGGGTGGTCTTCTGCAGCAGTCAGCAGTTGACTAAACATACCAGGCTGTATTAAAGAAAATAAATAATAAGTTTATGAAGTATACTCTATACATTTATATAAACCCTTCTTTACCTTTGCTTTTTAATGACTTATGGAAAAGGTACATCAGTAACTAAGGAAGTTTGAGAGACACAGTGGAATGAGGGGACTCAAAGGAATTTTTTTGCCATTGTGTGTACAAGTATAGATAAAGGTTCAGACATAAACCCAAACATTTTGGAAAAAGACAAGGTTGGGGGAGGAGATGGCTTTCCTGATGGCATGGGCAGATACGCTGTTGCTACCTGCTCATGCTGTGACAAACAGCAGCTGTCAGGAATTGGCCACATTTGCCACCAACCCATCATTTCTCTCCCAAAATTGCAGCCTGCTCTTGCCACTGAATCGAAGAAAACAGAGGACTGTTAGACAGAAACAGGAGTGCAGGCAGCCACTAGAGGGGCTCATGATCCCGTGTGGCAGGGCAGGTCCTTCCCACAACAGAGGGAAGAGATCTAGGAAAAACTGTGGTGGCTGGCTAAGTGCAGAACAAAATGTGGATGCACACATACAAACAGAACAACAGATGCAGCTCCATAAACATACATGCAACATTTTCAGAGCTGCATAATACACGTGTAAGCAGCCAAGGCCCTAAAATTATTAAACAGAAACAAACACTGGACTATTTATCCATTCCTCACGGGAGGGAAGCATCTAAAGAATATGTATCATGGATATAGCCATAAGGAAAAATGGGAGTGGGAGGGGAAAGAAAACAGAAAAAAAAAGGTCTTTGAGTGCAAGTAACTCAGCTTTCATTGGCTGTCAGGTACTGAATTTCTAGTATCACTGTGAACAGAAGAAGACTTAATATGAAGCCAACTTCTCACCAGGTGTTTAAGTAAAATGTAGTACCCTTTTAATTTCAAGAAGATATTGGTCTGGAAAAAGTAAAAAGCCACACTATCAGAGTTACTCAGCAAGATTATTAATTGCAGACAAATTAATATTCTGTCAGCATTAACTGACAGAAAATTCTTCCAACAGCACAGCTTCCTCACTACTTTCTGATATCAAGAACATAGTAAAGTTTATACCTCATTAGCACTTGCTACTAATTTCTTCAAGCCCCAGCCATCTGCTGCCCAATGATCTGCTACTTCTTTTTCTGAACAGATGATGAAGTTATCGAAGTAAATATCAGATGTCATAGACCACAGTTCTAAACCAATAGCACTGACAGTGGTCATCTTGAATGGGTGAAGATCTTCAAAATAGTCTGGGTTTGGTATTTTCCGAGGGCTCCAGATTCCCTGTTAATGGAAAAAAAATGTAATCACATTACCTATAGCTCACCAAAAAAAAAACAAGCTGTGAAAGAAATTTTAAAATAATTAGAAGTTCACAACTGTGTTAAATGCATTATTTAAAAAGACAAGCAGTAAAGTTTAACCTACACTGTTACCGGAAGTGGTAGGGAAAATTTTAGGAAAGGAAACTTCAGCCTTATGATACCTGTGCAAATTAGAGGCAAATTTTGTTTGCAAACCTGCTTAGGATCTTAAGCTCAAAGAAATCAGACTCAAGTATTCCCCAGCCATAACTAATACAAAGTAACTCTCTTTAATATGCAACTGATTACCTCTTATGTCTGGAGGGGAGGAAGGGAATTTAATTATCCAAAATTGATGCATCCTCTAAAACTGAACTAGTAAGTTCAACCTGCTTGCTGAAAGGCTTAATTTTTTGAATATAAAAAAGATCGTTTATTTAAAAGACTCATATTTAAAGCCCCAATGTAACTTAGAATACAATTCTACAGAGCATATTAAATAAATGGTACCAGTGCAAATCGTACAAAAAACAACTTTGAACAGATAAATTGTTTTAATATAGGAAGCACTACTTAAAGGAAAAAAAAAAAGCAAATTACATGCAAAAAAAATCTCAAAGTGTTTAGTGAGGCTATTCAGACTCATTCTAAAATATAAATATACTGTAAAAAAGCCTAGATAAATATACTACTTTGACTTTGCTCTTGTTCAACTCTGTACCTTTTAACAATGACCTACAATTTCGCTATTACCTGATAGTTAGGATTATCTATCATAGGTGCTCTCCATTTTCCTTTATACTTTGGGTTGTTCTTCATGGGACGCACCCACTGTCCACAACCAGGTGCAGTCTCACACTTCGGATTAGGGATCTGGGGGGCTTCCCACTCCCCATCCATTTCTTCATCCCTAGAGAGAAAAACAACCCAAAATTACAAACAACTGCTTTAAGATCAGACAGGCCCAAAACACTGGCAGTCTGAAGCTTGGGTCCATACACATTTTGCTGTAACAACCTCAGAACTCTGACCAGCTCACAGAGCTTTATCCAACAGTATAAACACCTTTTTTAAGGAGTGCTCCACTTTTTTTTTAAAGGTCACATGTTCATAACTACCACAGCATGACTGACCTCAATTACATTCCTGCACCTGCAGACAGCTTGAAACACTTCTCCATAGGATTCTTAGAGATCCCTTGAAGCCTATTATATTATGACTTCAAAACATCAACTCATACTGTAGTAAATTCTTTCAAAAGGGTCCTTCATATTCTGTTTTTGCTAATATATCTTCAGAAAACAAAAAGCAATGGACATGTTCATGTTTTTATAGAAGCGGTCCAACAAACCAACAAATATTTGGCCATTCCTTACACATTCCAACTTACCAGTCCTTTGGTTTTTTTGCATTAGGGTCTGGAACATATTCTGGTTCATCATCAAGCCATCCCTCAGGTTTAACAGCATCAGGATCTTCTATTTTGGAAGGTTCGTCTTCATCCCTTCAATTACAGACTCAGGTTAGAAAATACAGGAGCCTGACTTCGAACCAATGTTCTGTCCAGAGGACTGTAACTGGCATGGAAGGGATGATTTTCAAAGGCACAACAGAATTAGACTCACTGATCAAGAGAATTAGGCATCCAATTATCTGTTTACAAATACCTGAATTATATTTACATTGTTTCATAGTACTATTTAGTACAGAAACTGCTGACATCAACTGGCAGGTGTCAGTCAGGTCTTCCCATTGAGCTTTTCCCTACTCTTCCTGAGTTGCTGCATGAACAGCAGTTCACACGTAAGGAAGTGAAAATCACTGAATGTAAATTAAGACTACATGGTGGAAAAAACACCAGCTTCTTATTCAGGTGTAGCAATCTTAGTTATTAATTGCAACCACAGAGGGCACAAAATCAGCAAAAATAATTTTTTTATTTCTCTCCTTAGAGGATGACCAGATCCTTGTACCCACCTCAGTTATGTTTTCAAACTTCAGTGCTTTTAGTGAAACATATTCCAGTTCTCATTGGCAAACCCCAAAATAAAACCAGTCAAATCTTTCAAATATATAACCTGTATGTAAAAGGCATTGTAGAGATAAAAAATATTCTCCTTACCAGTCATCTGGTTTGACAGCATTTGGATCAGGTATTTTTGGTCTCTCATCCCAATCATCAGGCTTCTTATCACTAGGATCCTCTATTTCTTTGGAAGGGTTTACTGGAGGAACCATATTCTCAAGAAGACTTCCTTTACTGACAACTGTTTGGTCGATTAACATTTCAAATGTATCATCTGGTTTTAGCACTAAATTGAAGAAATTTGTTTTAAAGAAATAAGGAAGCCATTAACTTTATAAATATCTTTAACCAAAGCTATATAATAAGCACAGCCTTAGTCAAATAACAGCAAACAGGATCCTCCCAAGCAGAGCTGGAGACAGGCTCCTCACTTAATCTGGACACAAAACGTTGCCCTTGAGGGGATGTATAACCAGCACCAGGCTCCCCAAAATGAAACTTCTAGAAAATTCAATTGCTGAAACACATCCAGACACATTCTAAGAGATTTTTCAAAAACCTACCACTTGGCCAAAATTCTGCTGCTTTTATTTAAAAAGCACAGACAATGAAAGTCAAATCTCTGCCCCCAAAGGCATCTCTGCTACTAAATTACAATCTCACACTTGAAAGCATGGAAACACAAGAATTGTGCCAGTGACACAGCTGAAGGATCAAAGAAGTACTTTCTCTCAGATTCAAACCTCTAACAGCCATTTGTCTCAAATGCCAGACTGCAAATACAGAAAATTCTCCTCAAATGTTTAAGTATGTTAGCAAGTGTGAGTCACTGAGAAGCCAAGGTCACAGAACTGAGCAGTGTCAGACTCAGTAACAGATGCATCCAGATCCACTTCTAATAAGCACTTACAAATGGGCTCACTGGTTAACTAGTATATTCAACTCTCCACACACAACAAAGATTATTAAGTAAATGCTATTCCACTTTTATGACAGTTTTCTAAAGCTGAGTGATGAAAACCAGATTAACAGTCTTATATCTAATGAAAATCTTGCAGCCCAAAGTTTTCAACAGTATTAAAATATCCCATGAAAACCCCATATCACCTTTAGATAAAATACAAAGAACTAATTTTTAGACTTCTGTTATCAGTCACATTAGAATTACACAGCTCTGTGGAGTCTATTTGAACAATTATGAGAGAATAAATGCAATCCAAGTTTAAGTATCTCGAATTTCTAACAAACAGGCCAAATACATGAATGCATGCATTCCTTTACTATGAGATTCCTATTATCTAAAAGTAAAAGTTTGCTATGGCACACTACAGCTATCTATCTTAAAAACTCATGGCACAGCACATGAACATGCCTACTGTTATTATTAGTCCATGGAAGTTTGTAAGTACAGTTAATTTGGCTGGATTTGCAGCATGCCACAGATTAGCCCATTCTTCTCTGATTTTCTAACTTCTGAGGAAGAATAAACAAAGGGAGGGAAATGAACTGAACTTTTATCTCTGCTATACTGTTCACTGGTACAGGAAGAGTTGTCACATGAATTAAACCCAGCCCACATTCATTCACCTTCAGAGGATGTGCTGACCTATCTTTTCATGCACATTGCAGGTGTCTGTGAGAGCTCTTAACATGAGGAGGAGGGTGGTGTGTGACATGCTGCAGGTTTAACTGAATTCCTGTGAACTCTGATACCTTCCTAGAATATTGGACAGTTGTATGTCTTAATATCTTTCTCAGTAAAAATATTTTTACCATAATAAATACTGAAGGCATTAATCAATTCTTTATGCTAAAGGCTGGCCAGGGCAGATATGCTTTTTTCTATAAGTGAATATTAAACAGCAGCATCTGAAAGCCACTTTTATGTCCTGCAGTTAAGCTCAGTCATTAAACCATTTAAGCCCAGTTATTAAGTCATTTAAGGCCAAATCATTAAGCAACCACCCTTCATAATTAACAGACTATTACAAACAAAAGAGCAGACTCAATTGCAAAGCTTCAGCAGACAGAAACAAATTTTTAATTTCTCCTTTCCAATTAAAACTTGTAGGAATTAAACAATACCAAGAGTATATAGATGTGTCTTCTTGTCCAAGTAGAACTTTTTTAGATCCACGTCAGGACGTTCAGCATGCTTTTCATCATATTCTCCAGTTTTGGGATTCTTATGTCTGAAGATAAAGTGTAGTTTGTAATCTTCTCCACATTTATCTGGTCCAAACATAATAGTGTAAGGTGTTCTGTCAAAAAAGTATTCCTGTAGAAGCAAGAAAACTGAGCATGTGTTATACTGGACACTTCATGAAGTAATTTACAATAGTTCTTTTCCTTGGCATACAGCATAGTTACCTTTTTCTAAAAAATAAATGAAAAGTGGTAGGGAAAATCATGAAAGGAACTGATCAGTTCCTCTTGACTTGTTGGGTGCTCTCTGTTCTCAGGGAATGGACTAACTTCTTTAGTCTCTTCAAGGAAGAGGAATGTATTTATTTAGATGCCTTTCACAAATCAAAACACCCAAGTATCTATGTCCCTCTACAAACTTTACACTAAAAATGGAAGCAGAACTAGTTACTGTTCTTCTTATCCTTATTTTCCAATAAAGATAAAAGCCAGGATTTTAATATCCAGTATTTTATCAGTGCTTTTTTCCTTTCCACATTAAGTAACAGCAACAAACGGCCCTGAAAATATCAGATATAGTTATTCACCTTCAGAGTATGTTGCATTAATCTGTTTAGTAATGTCACTACCTTTCAACTACTTATATGTTTTCCATATTTGGAATAACCTGCTTGTGCTCTGCAGTAAAATAACTGTTTCACAAGTTATGAGTTAAGATCCTATGGCTTCTATTAATATACAAAGTCAGACTACACAGATACAGAAGTCCTTTGTCCCGGATATAAGACATCACTCAGGGAGAACCAAGCTGTTCCTCAAATGAACAACTGATAGCAAATGTTAAGCAAGAGGACATACCAGATTCAAGTCATCACTACTAGAGAGAAGTTTAATATATGCACCCCCACAGTCAATGCCTTTTTGAAAATTCACTTCGTACCTGGGCAAAGAGAAAGTTAAAAAAAAAATTCCAAGTGTGAGAAAAATACAAATTAACTTCTAATCTGCCATTCTAATTAAGAATACACAAGACTCTGTATTAGTCGCTACTGTCAAAACACTTCTATGTAAGCAAATATTACATTTCTGTCCAAAATTATTTCAAAATAGTCTAAATATCACTTTTTAACACTTACACTACAATCTTAATTAATTAATCCCTCATATTTACAATTCTAATAGCTCTGGATACGATAGGTCAATGCTATATGGAAAGCAGTATTGTTTTATAGAGGTTCACATTATTTTCTTAAGGATTTTAATAATAAAAATTAAAAAATCAGAGGCATTACTTACTGAACAATCAAAGGTTTATCATCGAAAATAAATGGTTTTGTTAGCATTGCCGATATTGCATGATGCTTTGCCACTGATTTTAACACTAATCCTCTGTCTCCAGGCACTGTGTTTTCTTTCAGCTCTTCTACTTCCCATCTTCCTAAAACACAGACACATAGAGTCTTTGAAAAAAAATGCAGGCTGAAGAAATCACAGCCTTGTTGAAAGGAAAGAGTTAACGAATAAAGACTATTAGTCCAAGCAGGGAAAAAATCTTGACATCTGACATCAAAGATATTATTTCTTGCTCTTCTCAAATTTACAGAAATCTACAAGAAAACTTAAATGTTGTAGATCTGTATCTTTAGACTGTAGTACCCTATAATAGCTAGGGGAACATAAAATATTTCTCCAGATTTTAGATTTACTCCTACCATCATCACATAAAAAGCATCAGTCACAAGGCACTGCGTAAGCCGGAGACCTGCATCATTCTTTCTCTTCTGCTTATACAGAATTAGAATCTTTTGGGTCAAATCTAATCACAGGGCAGATCAAATTCCCCCCCAAGCCTTTCCAAGAATTATCAGGTTTGATCTTAAAGGCAAACAAACACGCCCGCAGCTTTAAAAATAGATTATATACTTATATATTCTCCAAGTTTGGTAGAGATACAGTTGAATACGCATCTGGCCAATATTCAAAGAACAAGATTTCTAAAAGGGCAGTTATATTTTCTCAGAGATTAACAGCACCAGATTCACTGGCTTTTTTTCCAGGAATGAACACAGCACAAAAAAACTACTTTTACAATTCACTGTAATCTGAAAAATGCCTGTGTCAATGTGAAAATGAAGAAAAAAGGTCATGAGTTCTTCAGCATGTATTTTAGAGAAGATTCATAAAATTGTGAAATGCCAATGAAACAGCTATTTACTTTTATTCAACTGAAGTGCAATATGTGTAGAGTTGTTAAGGAAGGGCAGGTATGTACATAAAAAAAAATTCTTAGTTTGTTCTAGTCTGCTAAACAGGAGAGAGGAAAATTCCCTCCTCTTCAATAGTGTTCCTTCATGGAAACTAAGGCCAAGCAATAACACTGGGCAAAACAACAAGCCTGAAAAAACAAACGATGGAAAAATAGTTCCAAAATGTGTTTTTACCACTGACCTTATTAAATGTTGAATTTTCTGAGTGACTTCAACCAAAAACAACTTTCTGACAATAAAGACAATTTCTATCTAATATGAGGCTGAGTAATCAGGGAGACATCAGTTCTTATAAGCATCTCATCTGTACGGATATGTCCTCTGCAAATTCTTAATTTTACCAGTTATTTCTGGTAACTGCTAAACCTAAAAACATCTGTTCTGCACACCAAAGTCCTGCAAGTTATGTTTGCTTACCACTTTCTATTAACATTAACTGATTTCATTTGACATAAGAACAGTAGGAAATATTTTTCTTTTGTAGCAGAAACTTTTTCTGTTCTCTCCACTCCCTCTTGAATTAAATAAATTTGGACTCCAAAATTATGGCCACAAATCACACATCTGTCAAACAGCCTAGAATTACATTTAAGCAGCCAGTTATAGACTAGGAACTGACAAGTCAAGTGCCAACTCCAATAATTAAACCAGCAAAACAACCTTTTCATGATTGCTTTCCAAATTTGTTTTAGACTACTGTAAGGCTAAACTGTACAAGAACCACAGGAGAGCCCTGTATTCAAGCAAAGGCAATCTGAAGAAGTATTTTAAAGAAAAACATCATTCCATTTAACTTTCTTGTTTCAAAGGCTATACCAAGAGACCAAGCCATGAATCAGTTGGAGAGACAGAGCAAGATGGAACGTGCTGCTTTAGAAACCTGTTTAACAGCCGACATTGAAGTGGTGAATCTCTCTGACACAATTTCAAAGAAGACAGTTCTCAAGAAGCAATATTCATAAACAATCGATACTGAATATTCAGATGCCAGAGTGTATTCTAGTATCATCCATTGCAATAGATTGTTGGGATGACCAAAAAAGTTATCCTCACACTAAGTGTGAGGACGAGCAACATTTGGCATTTAAGTTTCAGGGTAACAGTCATTATACAAACTAATATTTTTGACCTGTCTCATCTAGATTTTCAAAGATAAGTTCTGTGTAAAGGGTAGTTATTTCTCAAAGAGCAACAAAACGTCACAAACCATACAGTGGAGGTAAACATTAAAACTGCTCACCATCATATTTAGCAATGTTATCATCTATGTCTTCTTTCTTAGTTTTAGACAATACCCACCTAAAACAAAAAGTGTACTGGTCATTGAACAATCTATGCAAAGCTCTATTATTAAACAAGCACAGGAAAAACAGCTTTTGCTTCTAGACTGTGAACCTGTAATAATGATTTTGACAGTCAGCATCATGGAACTGTGTGTTCTTCAAAGAATATGAAAAGAAAAATCATAAGTAGATTAGTCTAATATGGCATTTCGAAATATTTCCTAAAAAAGCAAATGAATATACAATTAAAACTCTAAAGTAATTCAATTCCCGAATTATTTAATTCTGAATAGACTTCAGTTTTATATACAAGCTGAGTTTGGCAGAATGTAAGAATATTATATCAGCATACAATGCACAAAATACAGGGAAAACAGCAAGTTTCAAGTATAAAACCTTCACTATGACAAGGAAAGAAAAAAATCACCCAAAGGAACCTTTACTTTATCTGACAGTAACAGTACACCTGCATAGCAGAGGACAAAAGGGAATGTTAAGTGTCTAAAAGACAAATGCAATTATACACTGAACAGATTCCAAGTGTTCTGCACACAGAGGTTCCAACAGGGTAAACACACTCCTGATCAACTTGATACTATGAGCAAGGCAATCAGCTTATCAAATTGAGGTTACCAAAAAAGACATGGACAGTCTACACACAAAGTGTTCATTTGGAGAGGAAAAAATGGAAAAGGGCAGCCCACCCCCATGTGGACATAGAGTGGTTCTATCCTGAGCCATGCACAGGAATATCTTAGGCCAACAGTGGTGCTGAACTCTTCATTGTATCAACTACAATACTACATTCTCATCATTAATTCTGTAAAGAACTATTTTCATTCAGTCTGAACTATTGTCTGCATGGAGTATTTCAAGGATGAATACTTTATCTTTTCTGCTGGAATTTCATTCACATTTGTTCACTGTTAACAGAAATGCTGGAAAAACTTCCCAGTATAAATAGCAAACTAGATCCTTGGCCTACCAGGACAGAGACCAACAAGGAAATAAAACATCTCTACAAGTCGCACAAAAGATTTGCAAGAGCCATTCCCAAAAAAGCTACTCTATTCTGGTGATTTACCTAGTCAATTCATGTGCAGGCTTTTCCACAGTTTTAGGGAAGAAAGGCAACATGCTGCTTACTTTTTCATAAATCTTTCTTCCATATATGTTACTTTTATGTAAGTTGTGTACAGCTAGACCAAAAAATCCCAAGCATTGTAGCTAAAGCTCTGAATATTAGATTTAGTAGGAAGACAAGCTAATCTTTGAACAGATCCCAAAAAGCTAGAAATTGGGATGAATGCTATCATTTGAGTATCCCAGTTAAGCCTCTGCATTTGTTAATCAAGGTTTTCAGTGGTTTGTTTCATTTTTTTAACCATTATCACCTCTTTCATTTAATAATTTTTCCTGTCATCTTGGGTACTGCCTTTGCACTTAACATTTAGAAGTGACCACATCACTAAGACAAGTGATAAACTGAAGACTGGAGCTTGCTAACTTATTTTTCTTCTCTCTTTGGTCTAAATATGTAAGAAAATAAGAAAATATGAAAGAACATAATATGAGTAATAACAGACTAATGTTCAGTGGTCTGTAACTCTACAGAAGAGAACAGTTCAGAAACAACTGGAAAAAGGGAGTAAGATTCAATCCTACAAAAGTTACTGGTGTCTGCTACCATGTTATTTTGTCTACAGTCCAAATCATGCACCCTCAATAGACATGTCTTATGATGTATAATCTCACTCCAACAATAGTTGGATCTCAGTTTTCCCACAGGAAGCAAAAAACTGGCAGCTTTAAGTTCTACCAAATGAAGATACCACATTGCATCTCCTGGGTCTTCCCAGGAGTTAGTTTTTTTTCCGTCAATTTTAGTAACATATGAAAACACCTTTTTTTTTGATTATTCACAAATCAAGAGATAGCTGTTGTGCTCAACAGCATCAAAGTGTACAGGAAAATAAATGCCAATAATAAGACTTGATTTTTCATTAGAAACAGAGACTTCCATTCATATTTTAAAAGCTGTTCTCATAGCAAGAAAGTACTCTAATATCACACCAGCTCTTACTAAAGAGATTTCAACCATATTCAGATACTACCTGGATGCACAATCACTTATCTTGAGCCAGTGACAGCATGCTGACCTGGCTTGATTCTTTTTTCATTTTAGAAAAGAGAACTCAGCAATCATATAGACCGAATTTACATGGTAAGCATTTGACTTGTCCTTGATTTTTTACACCCTTTACATCTGTGGTAGAAAGAGGACTGAATGCCAGATTGTTTTCCAACCAAAAGCAGTAAGTCTATTCCAGAAATAGAAAGTAATAAATACATTCTTTTTTATTGACAGTGCATTGGTGGCAACTGACTGCAGCTCAAAAGACACAGAATTTCACTGAACATCACAAGTCACTTAGTAGCAATTACATCCAACATTGCCACACTGTTGTAAAAACACTTCCAAGATACAGACAACACAAAAATTTCTGGCTTGAGAATTGTTGAGATAAACCTGAACATTGTTCTAAAATTTCATTACAGTAAGGACTACCTAGGAACAACACTTCAGTATTCTCATAAATACCTAACTCCTCTTGAGTATGGGAAGTGATAAAATAAATTAATAAAAAATCTGCTTAAAAAGTCTTTTCCAATAGAGATTTTATCTATAATGGTGAAGGTGCTGCCTTTTTACACATACCTAAGATCATGTGAAAAGGAAGAAAGGGCTTGCTACTGAAGTGTAATGCACTGAAGTGTAATGCTACTGAAGCACTCTGCACTTCACCTTTCAGCTAGTTAAACTTAACTGGCTAAATCTTCATATTATTTTTCTTAATGTCCACAAACCCGGAGTTTATTAAAAACTTCCTAAAAACACACAAAAAAATAGCAACATATTTGAAATGTTAAAGGTCCATCTTAACATTATGATGTATCTGGAGCAAGCATTAACAGCCTACCCAATTCTAACCCCTGCAAAAATTAATTTTTATAAGGATACTAGTTGAAAACTGAATACAAAATAAGTCCTACCACTGTAATTTAAATTGGTGAAAGTAAAAGTTTATCCTTTTAAGGCATAAGCTTACCCAGACAATCCTCCATCAAAGGTTTCTGTAAAATACACTTCCCCGGTTGGCTTTGGAGTCTGGTACACAACCTAAGAGACAAGTACAGATACATGTTCTAACATAAATTACAATTTTTCATTTGAAACACATTATCATACCTCCAGAAGTAATCCACCCAGGCAGAACAACAGATTTTGTTCATCAGAAATACCTAGCAGCATAAAACCCCTTCCTCCCCACCCCTATTTCAATAGTTTGGGTGCATCCCTTGAACACTGAACAATTTCACAACTGTGAATTTTATAAGTTGTTCAAAGCTCATAACTAAACCTTTGTTACATCTTATGTATAACAAAACCCAAAAAAATTTACTGAACTCGCACCAGTTCTCTGCTTCCTCCCTACTTCTTTCTATACATGTTTTCCATTCTTCTGTTTTCCTATCTACTCAGCATATTACAATTGGGCTACACAACAGAGAGTTGAAAAAATAAGTTATTAATATTGCCTACCTCTATTTGCACCTATTTTGAAGTACAGCATAACAAAAGGAAGATTTTCTGAGAATAAAGACAGTGACAAAAGGCAGCTGTGACTGATGAAATCCAGAAACTGGTCCAAAGTCAAAATCTCAGTAAGACCAAGATGCTTTCTGCTTTCTTGTCTAGAAAAAGCATGTTAGGACTTGCAACAAAAGGTTCTGTGTCTAGATTGAAGTAAAACCTTTTTCTTGACTATCCACCACAGGCAGGAGAATTTACACTTTGGTATAAGAAAATCACTGTTTAAGTTTGCCCTACATGTCACACACAGCAACTGAAAGACTGCTGGGTTTGACACCACTCAGTTGTCAACTGCATTTTAATTTAGTCTTTTTAAAATATATTTGTCCACCAATTTCTCATAGTTATAACTATGTATCTTGTATTTAACCAGACTTAACTAAAGACTTCTGTAATCTTACCTCTATGGAAGGTTTATCTCTGTCAACTTCAGTTTCTTGGGACTGCATGTCAAAATCCTCCACTTCAACATCTGCATCCAGATTTTCTTCATTTTCAATTTCTGCAGTCACTGAGCTAATTAGCAGGACACCCAAGCACAGCCAGTCCCACTGGAAGCGCATCTTGGTTATCTGAAGAACTGAAAATTTTAAATTTTAAATATTGTTGCAAGGATATTACCAATGCTATTTTAATTTTACCCCAGACTTTTTCTACAAGAGAAAAAAACACATTAAAACAATAGGAAACAACTATCAGAAAGTGTTGTCACTATATTATTTTAGGAAAATGCTATTTCCTAATTTGATTTTTTTTTTTTACTACAAAGCCCTGACTCAGTTATTACCACAGTGATACATATCAACAGTTATCTGCAAATTTTTCTGTGGTTTTTGTATTTGATTTTTTAAAATTTTAGTTAAAAACTACAGATATTGTTAATTCATAGACCTCCTGGGCCAATTCTAGCACTTAAAATAATCTTGCCCTGAAGATTGAAAGTAATTCAGTTTATCATGGTGAACATTGAATTTTATGGTATATTTTTGAACACCTTTGCCTGGAGGGTGTCACACTTTGTTTTACCACCTTCATTTTTGTGTTTCTTAACCACTGTATTAGGATAAAAACAGTCAAAGAATTTCATATCAATACCTTCTGGGACTCCTTAGCTCCTACCTGAAGTATCATGTATTAACTAGGCACCAGACTTGCTTTTTCAGTATAAAGCTTGCCTACCTTTAGATAGTTTGTCATGCAAGTGGTCTCCTCTCCTTTTCCTAAAGCAGGTGAAGAGATACACCTTTCTTTGTCAATACATTACAGGTGTATATTATGCATAATGCAAAATGTTTTTCACTTACATGGCTGTAATTTTACTGTAATTAGCCCCATCCACTTTTGTTCCATACACAGAATAACAAGGGCATCCAAGAAACGAGACTAATACCTTTCTACACAGCTCCCTTCCAAAACTCCTGATGCTTTCACTTCGTTCACACCAAGTCTTATCACTACTTCCTGGTCCTAGCCTAGGACTTTATCCGAATTTCATTCAGTCTTCAATTAGATCTCTTACTTCTTCCTTCAAGAAGAGAAAGCTCATTTTAACCTTTGACCTTTTGATACACTTCTAAAATAATCCCAGAAACATGGAAATGTGTTATCAAGACCAACTGCAGTCATCGCTCAATTGCCAGGCAAAGATGGTTTTAAACAATCCCATCACATCCTTTATTTTTGTGAACTCTGCCAGCATTGCAGTCTTAGAATGTAAAATAAATCAAGAATTTGTGGTCTCAAAATAGAATTTCACACTACACATTTAATGGTCTTTAAAACCTACTGAACTTTCCTAATTAACACATGAAGACCTATGAAAAACTTTTCTTACTCTTTCTTCAATGTGACAATAAAACCAAACCAGAAGGATCCTCACTGTTAAAACCTCCTCAGCAGAACAAAGCAGGTTATCCCAGACTATGGCTCTCACACAAACCCCATACATGTTTACTGGCAGTTTTGCCTAAACACCGAAGACCAGTGACTTCCAAACCATCCTTCAGGCAGCTACAGCAAATAGATAATTGAAAAACCATAAATCTTGCCAGCATTTTACAGAATCACAGAATATTCTGAGTTGGAAGAGACCCACAAGGATCATCAAATCTAACTCTTAAGTGAATGGCCCATAGAGGGATAAAACCCACACCCTTGGCACTATTAGCACCATGCTCTGGCCAGCTGAGCCACCAGCTCTGAATGACCCATGAGAGAACCGGATAGAAAATCTGCATTCATAGAAACTGAGACATAGAAATCTATCCTGGAATAACTGCACTTCCAAATCAGGGTTGCCAATCTCCCTTTTTGGGATGGGCAGCTAATATTCATCTTTCTCTAGATAAACACCTTGACAATTCTGTCAGACCTGTAATTTTAAACTTAAATTTTTGCATAGCTTGGTCACTTTTTACCATGGGTACAGACAGCACTGCCACACATCAGAAGGGACATCTGAGCCAGCAGTACTACTGCTCTTGGGATCAGCAGCAGTGCTGCAACATCAGCAGAACATTGCACCTCAAGTAACGAGCTGGTTTCTGAGACACATACTAATATTTAAGAAAGACAACAGACCTAAACTGAAAACATATTCTGACTGGATATTAGAATTGTTTTCCCCCATGAGGGCAGGCAAGCAGTAGTACAGGCTGCCTAGGCTCAGTCCTTGGGGTCTTCCACACAGACCAGATAAAGCTCAGAGCAAGCTGAACTGGCCTCAGGGCTGCCCCTGCCACAGTAGAGACCTCCTGGGGTCCCTTCCCACCCGAATGATTTGATTTCCACGGATGGTTGGACGGTACAAGTAGATCAATCTTCAGACCTCTGCACTGTGACCTGCTGCACATTCTACACATGCCATTAAGGTAGTGGCACCATTGCTCCATTTTATGCAGAACTAAACAGAGATCAGGATCTTTTAGATTATTAATAACTTTTCTTTGGACTTTGAAGAGGGTCATGCCTTTTTCATGCAATTCTCAGAGCTCTGCATTCTCAAGCAGAAAGGGAATAAGTCAACCATTAACAGTCTCTCTCACTCCAAGGTCTAAAGCTCCTGCATGCGGTATCAACACATGGGCTTTCCCCAGGGCCAAACAGCAATTCCATCCAGGGCTACAAAAAGTGGAGGGTTTTTTTTCCCCCACCTCTTCTTCCATCCATAACCACGTGCTGCCTTATTACCTCCTCCAAGCTGCTGCACTGGCGTCAACCTGACCAAAAACAACATCCAGCTGCAACTGCTCCGTGAAAAGCACTCAAGAATTCTTACACAGCTTTTTATTTTCCCCTTTATTTGGTGTGAAAGCCGTACTTCCCTCCCTTGTTCGCCGAAGTGTCAAACACACCGTACTGGACTGGGTGCCCAGTATGTAACTCAGCAGCTACTCTCGCTGCAATGCTGTGCTCCTGAAGGTGCCTGCTCGAGGTGTTTTGCTGCTAAAACCTCCAGGAAGGCGTTATTTTCCAATTTAAAAAAATATTTTTTTTTTATTTAAAAATTTAAAAAAATAGAAGTTCAGGTCAACCGAGCGGCCGCTCGGCGTTCAGACAGCGCCCAGCACGAACCCGCTTTTCGGGACAACTGGCAGAGAGAGCGAGGGCCGCAGGCGCTGCGGGGCCGCGCTCCCCCTGCCCGGCGGGGCCTCGGGGCCCCAAACCCACCGCCGCCGGGGGATCACCGCGCTCCCCCCAACCCACCCTCGGGACCCGCCGCCGGCCGTGAGGGCCGAGGGGAGCGGGGTGGGGCCAGGAAACCACCGTCGCCCCCTCCCCTCGCCACACGGGGCCCACACGCACCTCCCGCCGCCGCCGCCCTCGTTACCAAGCACCGCGACGCACCGCGACGCCACTCTCTCTCCCCGGGCGCTGCCGGCGCTCCTAGCCCCGCGGCGGGCGGTTACCGGCGCTCCCGGCGTCCTCCGATCCGCGGCGGGCGGTCACCGGCGGCGGGATCAGGATGGGGAGCGGGGAACAGGAGCGGGGCCGGGCCGATGTTCCCGGCGCATCCCCGGCCGCGCACGCGCGCGGCGCCCCCGCCGCTCCCGGGGCTGCGGGAGCGCGAGCGGGAGCAGGTGCCGCCGCTCGCGCCGCGCCGCCGCGTCCCGGCCAATCGCGGCACGGGTGAGCCGAGCGCGCGTGGGGGCGCGGGAGAAGGGCAGAGAGCCGCGCCAATCAGCGGCGCCCGCCGTGAGGCGAGAGCCAATGGTGGCTCGGTGCGCGACTGGCGGCCCGCCCCTCCCGCGGCGAATCAGCCAATCGGCCGCTGCCGGGGGCCGCGCCCTCCCCTCGGCTATGGGTGCCCGTGACAGCGGCTGTACCGTCATGGCCGCGGCCAGCGCGACGGGGGGTCACACATCGTCCTGCTCCGCACGCCCCCGGCCAGCGGTCAGCCCAGAAAAAGGGCTTCTCCGCCACCAATAACCTCAAATTAACAAACCCCTTCATTACATTTGGAGGCTCACTTTGGCGGTCCAATTATACGTGTTTGATGACCCCAATATACAGGTCGCTGAGCCGAGCGAAATAAACACGTTTTAAATAAATCACCGAAGCTCAGTTCCCAGCTGCCTTTTCTAAAGAAGACGAATGTCAGTGTGCTCCCTTTCAAAAATACTTCAAAAGATTTAAGACAAGAACAGAGGCACACCATGCAGAGAAATGAAATGTGTGCTCCAGTGAAAATCAAAATGGGTTAAATAAACCATTATTAACATTGAATAAGCTTGTTCAATATTGATATTATTCAACAGTAATATTATATTAATAGTATATATTAATATATTAATACTCAATTATTCACATATTATTAAATATCAATATTAATATTGAATAAGCTTTCTTCCCACACAGGCATTTAACCTGGTTAGGTACATGCACAATGAGCTCGAGGTGGTCAATATTTTTGAGACTATGTTTTAAACCACGTGAAAGTACTGAATTGCAATTGCCTAAAGAGCCTGGTGATCCAATATGGAATCTGAAACTCCTTTCAGAGTTGTTTTTCTCATTTATTGCCTTTGGTTTTATAAGTTGCAATCACAATGCCTAGACTTCAAACCCAATCACCTGTAAAGTTAGGGGAAGATCCTTAATTCCCTGGATCCATTACCTGAATCGAAGCTTCCTCTTGGCAGCCTTTAATCTGGCTGTGGTTTGGCCGACTGTGCAAGAAACCTCTGTGCTCCCCAAAGCACAGGGAAGGATCAGGATTAAGCAAAATTTTACTTTAAAGGTTCACATGCAAGCATTCATTATTTACGCGTTCAACTAAAACCTCATTTACATCAAAGTGATGGGAAGTGTATTCTGTGATTGCAATGGTTATGTAAAAGATGTAAAACCAGAAACAATGAATGAAGCACAAAGCAGGCAGCACAGGATGAAAAATTACATTTAAACAATACTTTTTAAAAGTCCAATCACTTCCTAATATAATTTCAGGTATTCTTATGAGATTTTTGAAATTCTGCTTCATGAGTTAGAGCGAAATCTCATTTCACTGTGAAAATAAGAGGTTTTGGTAGCAAAATCTATTGCCTCAGTATTTTCCGTGTTTTCACTGATTTAATAATTGCCCTAAAATTTCCTTCTCACGGTGACACTGCCCTGTAACAAGTGAGTGTAAGGCACCCTGAATGCAGACACTACTCCCAGCTTGTGAGTCTGCTGCAGTGAAAGCAACGGCAAAATAAGATTTTATGTTTTCACTGTAAGTGCTGATGGATAAAGGTGTTGCTCAGTATATCTCTAAGGATGCTGGATTATTGCATTGATTCTTAACTGGCATTAAACTCTTAACATAATGAAGGCTGCAATATTTGGTCCAAGATATACATGTACATATATGTATGTATATACATCTACACACACATATATATAGCACCACAGTATATAAACAATCCTGTAAATAATAGTCTAAATAAAAAATATAAAAAAAAAAAATTATAACCTGCAAGTAATGTTATCAAGACATTTTTAGAGGTGGCCTTTAAAAAAAAACAAACCTCTTCTGAACTCTTTTAATGTAAGACAATTAATTTCAACTCATTCTAAATGAAAAACACTCTTTCATTAAGAATATAATATTACATTAATGTAACCCATTCAATACAAATCGACGCAGAGCTGTACATTGCAATTAATTTCCTGCTGTTAGGATGCAATGCCTGTGCAGGGGAATGAGGGCACTGTCTTCCTTCAAGTGCTCAGGATGTGATACTGGAATTCTGCCTGTTTACAGGTAGATGCCCAAGGTGGATTCTAATTTCCTAGAAATATGTCAAATGAGATTGCTGTGGTTTACTTTTTATTTTCAAATTTATGTCGAATTTTGACTTGTGACCAGGATTTAAATATGACTACACAGTGATTATCAAACAATAGGATCCAAAATTTTATTTAAATAGATTTTCTTTTTACAAAAATATAGTTACACATAGTACCCTTATTATTTCCTGTAGTTAACTCAATACACAATTCACTGAAAAGTTTTACAATCTTCCAAACAATATCAGTTCAAGTTTAAAATTATTCAAATGGTAACTTGGAGGCACTTGCCATTTAAAAAATATTAAACATAACTTATGGTACATTAAGGCTGAAACACACTTATGTTAAGTTTGAGATCCATTTTCATAATGTTAAACAGTTCCTGTGGACTTTAAATACTTGCAATGAATATTGACAGCTTTTTCTTCAGTTCTCCTTTCCCTACAAAACTGACCAGTGTTTTTAGTGAACTTGAACAGTGTGTTCCTAATATTTTTCAAAAATGTCCATATTTTTACTTCTGATGACATTTGTTATTAATTTCTGTTTTAGTCCCTGAGACAGCCTGCAATGCCTTATCAATTTTTTATAACTATATATGTTGAATGTTGCCAAGGTAAGGTGATATTTTTATAGATGACACCTTACTCAACAAAATTTTATAGAAATTACAAACATAATTGGGTTCTTTATACCTTTTTCTATTAAGACAGAGTTATCTCAACTCTTTCATAATAGACAGTATTAAGAACGACATGGATTTGGAATTGGTCTTTTTACCCAGTTCTTTTTTTGTTGCTGTCAGCCTTGTTTTCAAACAGTCTGTAACAAGCAACACATCAAAAATGGTTTTTTTTTCAGTTTTCAGATGTCTTGATAAGTACCTGAAAAAAATCAAAATCTTATTATTTTCTAAAATCTGCAGAAACATTTCCTAAGACATTAGCTTTTCCCTTCTTCCAGCTATGGCTAGAGTTTAAGGCTGTAGTAATTCTCTTCAGTGACTTCTGCTGAGTATTTTCTACTTATGGGCTCACTGATATTCAAACACTTGGGAAAAACTTGAAGAATTAAAAAATCACATGACATAATATAATTAATATACAAGATGGTGACTGAAAAAAGCTTTTTTAATCAAGACCCAAATCCTAGCAACTACACTTGCAGCACTGCAAAACTGGAGAATCATCCCATTGAAGCATTTCCAGCACTTTCTGTGACATAAATTTAACTTCTCCCCTGAATAATTAATTCTTCTGTGAGTTTCCCAAGAAAAAATTACATTCAAAATTAAATGGAATTCATGATTATCAATACTATATGATTGGAACAACCAAAACTCATTTAATAATGAATAATAAAAGTGCTTTTATTAACATTCTTACCTCACTAAGTATTGCCCAGACAGGGGAATCAGAACTGATCGATAAACGAATAGCCTTTATTCTTCCTATTGACTGATTGATACTGCCTTCTGCAATTCCATTCTCAAAAGCTCCTAAATAAAAAAATAGAACAAGATCCATGCAAACATATGTTAGAATGAAATATATTTCCAAGCAAACTTATGCGAAAGCTCTAAATTACAAGCTATAAATTAAATCCACATATTATTAAATAAAACATTTAGGAAAAAAATCTTTTGGAAAAGGTCAAACAATAACAACTGAAAAATAAAGCTATAAGCAAGAAGAAGGATTCATCCCTTCAGTTACAGCAACTAGGAGCTGGAGAAGAATACAAGAAAGCAACCTATAGCTACAAATGTTAAATAAATTTGCATATGCTAGTAGTAACCATATACATGTAGCCCTCTTGGGCTAAACTTTACTCTTGATTTTCTCTACCTCCTTGCCCCCTGGGGTGCAGGAGGACAGGGAATGGGGGTTGTGGTCAGTTTGTCCTGTATTGTCTCTGCTCCTCCTTCCTCCTCAGGGGAGTCAGCATGGCATCCTCCCTTCTTCACTGACCTTGGTGCCCTCAGAGTTATTTCTCTCATGTATTCGGACTCCTCTCCCCAGCTCCAATTGCTGTCACACAGGGCTTTTTCCCCCCTTCTTAAATATGTTACCCCAGAGGCGCTACTCCCATTGCTGATGGACTTGGCCTTGGCCAGTGAAGGGTTCATCCTGGAGCCTTCTCCTTCTCACAGAAGCCACCACTGTAGCCCCCCCACTACCAAAACCTTGCCACACAAACCCAATCCATCTTATTAAGACCTTGCAGGGACTTAATTAGTTTTTTCTTCTAATTAGATGGCTTGGCTTTTGCTGCTGCTGGTAGGGTTCTTATTTAAACCCAATAGGATAGTCATTGGTCAAACATCATACACTACACTACACAGCAGTGCAAAGGGTTTCTCTTCCTTACTAATCCACCTTGGAATGCTGAATTTATTAAAGAGGTAATGAAATGCTCTCAAGCAGAACCATATTTTTATGTAAGAACAGAATTTCTGATTTTGCAGCGACAATAGAAAAATTACCTATTTTTAAATATCCGTCTTTGGTTGCTGGGTAGTTAAATTTATTTCCAGTATCAACCAGTTCTTTTCTTTGCAATTCCTGTAAAAAAAAAACAACGAAACAATAAAACTTTCAGAAATGTTTTCTAAGGTATGACACTTTATGCTGAACATCATTCTTAAAATGAAATACAGTTGGAAACGAGAGACTTACATCAGCTGGTAACACTTCCACAGTAGTGTTAAACAGTTTATCACCAGGGTGCTCCATGTTTCCACTTCTGAAGAAGTA